GCCTTCCATCCTTCCGAGGTGGGTAAAATGAGGACCCGGATTGTTGTTGGGGGCAATATGCTGACTCTGTAAACCGCTTAGAGAGGGCTGAAACCGCTTAGAGAGGGCTAACTGCTATTGCTAACTGCTATAAAACATAATAAATAGCCGCTTAATTCTATTCCTTGTTATAAGACAGGATTTTCCACGTATATCTTCAATTATCTGTATACCATATAGTATTGTTAAGTCTCCTAATACAACAAGCAAAGATAAGAAAATTCCAGAAATATTGTTTAAGCCCGAATAGGTTTGGATAAGGCTAAGCAAGCACTCATTGGTTTATCTGATTTGCGATCATATCAAAACAAAATAAATGTAGCGATCAAACATAAGTCAAACTATGACTAAGGCTTCCCAATGGAAATTAACTTCCCAATGGAAATTAACTTTTATTCTGAGATTTTTGGAGAACTAGTTTGAAGTTTGAAGTTGAACCAGTAAAAAGTCACCACCATGTGTATGTTACATATATGGTTTTATATGTATTATTTATTCTGTTTAACTTTGAAGGCTCCCTAGAGACTTTTGATGACTATAAATTTAAATTAATAAATGAGCCATCCTACACTCTTTCTGCTTTTTAACTTAAAATCTCTACACATATTATTTCTTTAAAAAAAATGCTGTGGCTTTGTGATAAACCTTCCTACAAGCTGCAATAAACCACTGTTAACATTGATACTAAGAATTGTTCATAATAAAAAACTGTGGTGTTTTTTTCTCTTTAGGAAATTCCCATGAATTTTGTCAATCCTAAAGAAATAGACATTCCTAGTTATGGAACCAAAAATCGTTATAAAACCATTCTTCCAAGTAAGTTGGTTTAAAGTGATACTTTTATCATTTACTTCTCCCTTTTCCTATTATCAGCTTTTTAATTCAATTTATAGGTACTCTTGAATTAAAGCAACCTGGGATGATTGCAAACTGATTTGTGAAATAATGTTGTTTTAATATGCATTGTTTTATTGCTGCTATCACAATCTCAATTGATGAACTGCATTTGACTTCTTAAGCCCAACATGTATAGATGTGTCAAGTTGCAGGGAAAATTAAATAAGTATTTATCCTACCATAAACTTTATTAATCTACATTACTGTTGGAAACTTCTATTAAAATAGTTTATTTATATCAATAAAGCTTAAGTGTTTACTTCTCTGCCAAAGTATGTTTCTTCAAGAATCTGAGTTTGCTAAAACATATGCTAAAGAGCCATAAGATTAACTGTGATTAAGTACCATTTAATTTTTTTTAACTTTTATATTATGTGTTTCTTTTAATTGTTGTACGCCGCCCTGAGTCCTTGGGAGAAGGGCAGCATATAAATCTAATAAATCTCAATCTCAATATGGAAAAGGGAAAAATAGAATAAACCAAAAAGCAGAATACAGTTTATTCCAGTAAAGAGCTATAATTGTACTAAATACCTAGAAATGTGTATCCTTGGTTTGTAGTCATGCCCACTGCCAGGAAAGTTAGTATAGTAATGAATCTGGCAGAAGATGTGACCAGCTTTCCCTTCTCTTTAATTGAGTATTTATTCAGCAGTAAAGCTGAAACTCAGGTTTCTATAGCTCAGAAAGATTTAAAAAATAATCTATATTGCAGAAAAATAGGATTAATTTAATATTTTTAATACAATAAGGCGTATTCCTACTCCGAATGGAGTACCACTGAATATGTTCACATAAGTACAATAATCAGAATACCCTTTAAAATGGATGGGATTTATTCGGTCTCAGCTTTAATGGCCAGTTCTGGTGCAGGTATGATACTAACTGGAGGAGGCCAAATTGGTCCCCTCCCAGTGTGACAATAAGAGAGGTAAGCACAAACCTCTGACAACTTATCTTGTCAGAGACAATAGGAGACTGGGAATTACATTTCTGTGATAAAATTAGGTTTTAATTTCTGGATAGCTATATCAGATGATCTCAGAAGGATATAATGTACTTTAAAAATATTGAGGGGGGAGAGTTATCTATCCTTGCACATAGAGACCATGCATATGGGAAATAGGTTCTCCCTTTTTCCTTTGCACAAACCTCAAAAGCAGACAGAAGACAGTATGAATCCTTCGTGTATCTGTTTCACAGACTTTTTTGGAATATTTGGAAGGATTTCCCCCCCTCATACCTATAGCTGTCAATATCATTGCATAAATCATCAAGCTTCTTTAAAAAGAAATCCTTATGCTTTTATGACATTTCCCTTTACTACTTTAGGTTTTCATTTCCATTTCCACCTGTGTTGTCTTTACAGATCCTGTAAGCAGGGTATATTTGAAACCAAGGAATCCAGGGGATGCTTTGAGCACCTACATAAATGCTAACTACATCAGAGTAAGTACACTGATGTGCAGTGTGCTGACTTGCCAACATATATTTCATCTTCATGCTTCCCATTCAGTTATTCTCTTATCAAAACACCTAACTTAGTACTCTGCCACCAACTTCCACTGCCTTTTATTATTGACAGTAGACAGTAGACTTTGTATATACTGTATAAAAATGAGCAATCATTCCATAAAGTGTTGTTCCAAAGTGTATTGGCCTTTTGACTAAAGCTTTGTACAAGATATATTAATTCTCTTCTTGTTTCTTCTCAGCCTGTTATAATCACAAAATTTTAATATGACTGTTCCATCTTTGTATAAATTAGGGTTATGCTGGCAAGGAGAAGTCTTTCATTGCAACTCAGGGTCCTATGATTAATACTGTGAATGATTTCTGGTTGATGGTATGGCAAGAAGACAGTCCTGTTATTGTTATGATCACAAAGCTGAAAGAGAAAAATGAGGTAAGGCTTTTTAGCTTAATCAATCATGGACACTTTGTCTAGTTCTTTAAAAAAAACAACACAACCAATACTACTATCAAATATTCAAGCCCCTAATTTTTTTTCATAGCACTCTATTAAAACACCGTAAATAATTTAGTGTGAACAACATTATAATATATTCCAAACTTTTTAAAAATATGCATTACTTTTCAGATTTGAAATGGTAACATAATAAATAATTTTGTTCTGAAACAAGTTCAATTCAAAATAGGGACTTGGAGGTCTTCTATCCAATGCCTTGCTCAAGCAGGAGACCCTTTGCCATTTCAGAGAAGTGGCTGTCCAGTTTCTTCTTAAGACTCCAGTGATGAAGTACCCACAGCTTTTGAAGGCAAAGCTGTTTCTCTGGTTAATTGTAAACGCTGTTAGGAATTTTCTCCTTATTTATGAAACTTCTCTAAGAAGTTTCTCCTTATCTAAAAAATTTATTTAAGTTTCTCCTGTCATGCTATAAAAATCCTATTTATCAATAATTACTCAACGTATAATAACTGGTCCAACCATTTACGACCATAAAATGCTGCACTATATTAAATCCAGCCATCAGTCTTTCTAGTAAAATATTCTTAACTGTGATTGTGACCTCCCAGCATTACACAAAGTTCTCCGGCTCTTTCTGAATATGTCAGGGATAGAAACTGATTAAATCTATATTTAATATGGAAGTTCTGATGTCTTAAGAAGTTTTCTGCATCCTCTGACTGAAATGACTTATTTATCAGAAATTAATTCAGTACTGCTTTGAAATAATAGTTTAATTTGTTTATTTGTTTACTTTTTTTATTGAAATAAATATTTGGTTCTATCAAGGAAAAGAGTGTAGCTGTTATCTATAAAGAAGTATCTTAACATGTGTGTATCTCAAAACATATAAAAGAATAATTTCTAAGGAAATGTGTGATATTGTAAGTAGTGCCATATCAGGACTGATCAAAATACTTCTGAAAACCTATCCTATTATAATATGGTGCACAGAACAAATATTTTCTCCAAAGGAAAAACTTTTTCTAAAAAAACACTTCTAACACTGTTTGAAAAGAATGACTTGAAAGAAACACAAAGTAATTCTCAACATATCAGGAAGCCCTGTGTTTACCTGAATTGCTCCCACTCATTACAATACTGTTTCTCTACATTGTCCTACACTGATGGTGGCAATTTCCGCATAATATAAAAGACTGAGATTTCTTAAGGAAATTCCAGACTACATAGACATTTGTGTTTATATGAGCTTCTCATATTTGATCAAATCATTATAAGAATGTATATATGGCAGAATTTTTTTTTCTGTTACCCAATTTGTTTTGAGAAACAGAACAGTTTACCCAATAAAAAGGGCAGTAAATACTTACAAGAAGTATGGCATCTAAACATTATGAAAGCATAGGTAAACATAAATATCCAATGGTTACTCTATTTTAAATAAGCACATTTTGCACCCTACTGAAATAACTCAATAAGTCATATTTTTGACTTAGTCGTGTGTTTATCAAACCAGAAGTGGTTTTTATATAGCAGTTCTATTGTGGGAGAAACCTTTCATACATTTTTCCCTTAATCATCCTACAAGGATAATAAGAATATTTTTAATGACATTAGATTAGAACGTGTCCCTTCAAAGCGTTTAGGGGTTGGTATTTCTTCTGCAACCTTGCATAGCAAAGGAAGAAAATTAGCAGTCTGTGGAAAATAACCAGGCTTTCTTACTCTGTTCATCACAGACCCAGTATAAATTGGTTTGCCTCTCCCTTGCCACAAAAATCAAGAAGGTATGTTTGTGTGGCCTATCCTATATCAGTCATTGGAAGATGCTTAAAGATCCCCATATCTTAGAATGGGGATGAGAAAAACAACACTGATTATTCTCTTAACAATTCTATACTTTCTCTTTCATTGCATTCCTCCAGCCACCAACTGCAAAAATCCATTTTGTTAGCTAGCCAGGATAACAAGGGGAATCAGGATGTCATATTATAAACTAAGCAAAAGCTAACGAATTCTTATAGTGAGGAAAGGTTCCTATAACGACCAGTTCAGAGAAAAATGTTATAGCATAGTATATGCATGTATAGTGTGTCCCTATCTGTCCTTCCTTCATTAATTACATTATTCCTTCCTTCATTAATTGCATTATATAGTTAGAATCTGAATCTAGGACAAAATGTTATAGAGCTGCAGTGGCACAGTGGTTAGAATGCTGTACTGTAGGCTACTTCTGCTGACTGCTGGCTGCCTGCAATTTGGTAGTTCGAATCTCACCAGGCTCAAGGTTGACTCAGTCTTCCATCCTTCCGAGGTCGGTAAAATGAGGACCCCGATTGTTGGGAGCAATATGCTGACTCTGTAAATCTCTTAGAGATTTATATACCGCACTGTATAAGTCTAAGTGCTATTGCTATTATAAAGTGGGGTGTTTTTCCCAGCCAGTATTCTATGGTATTCTTCATTGGACTATCCTGGATTTTTTATATAGTTTTAATTTCTGTGAATGCAGGGAATGACCACAGTAATCTATAGTACATCAACTCCATTATCTGAAGTAGTAAAATTATTTTCATATTAGTGGCCATAATAACTTTTCTCTCCATGAAAGTATTTAATACCTTCTTAAACTATGACATTAAAGAAGAGGACATGATCTTCAAGAAAAGAAGATTTATTTACAAGCAATAGATCAGGAGATATGATAGAAAGAAATCAAGAGATACAGAAATTGAAAAGATAGATAAACAGTAAGAACTATAGTTGCCAATGTCCCTCAGGCTAAAAGACAGGCATAATATGTTCCTTATTTCGATTTGAACTGGAGCAAAATCATCACTCCAACAGAAATTTCTGAACTCTACAACATGAAAAAACATAAAAGCCACAAATAGAAAAGAGCTCAAGCGAAGTCCATATAGCCTTGGGAAGAACTGAGTACTGGCAATAAAGCTACGCTTCTGAAATATTTTTCTCCCTTATGTCTCCATGATAGCAACCTAAATTATATTATCAATGGCAGAAGACCAACTGGTTGTGTGGTTAACAATAGCAACATTCTTGTAGTAATCTTAGCATTTTTGGTCACATTTATTACAGCAGGCTAGAACAAGATTCAGTTTACTGATAACTTTAGTTTCCAACCGAATCTCAATTTACTTGGCCAGTTTTGATCAATGAAGTTTGTCTCTTCTCCATTTTTCTCTAGGACTTGTGTTGCTCTGCCAAATTTCACAAGAATACATGATCTATCCTTTGCACATTCTACTCAATATACTATACATCTGCTGCTTTTCCTCTAACCTTTACTAAAGGATTCATATTTACTTTACTGAAACCTTTCAGACAGATCAATTATGTACCCCAGGGGATGGCTCTCAATGGGTTACTAAATTATCACTTCCAATAACTCCAATCAACGTAACTTACAGTAAGAACTACTAAGGGTTGGTTATAATATTTGGAATGTCACAACTTTGCATGCTACAAGTATTGTGTATGGTTCCAAAATGCCACTTATTCACTCTTTCCTTTCCATCTCATGGCTTCTTTTTTTCTTTCTAGTCTAATAATATACTTTTAGCAGTTTGCAACAATATTATTTAACTAAGGTTTTATATGTTGCTGGATTATTATATTTATAGACTTTATACTTAACTTAATGGATTTAATATTTAGTCTAATAAAACACAGTTGGAAACCTTAATTATTTCACATTGATTATGCAACCCTGGGCCACAGGCTGAACAACCTGGTATCAACTGTATAATTCAGCAATGAAATTCAAAAAGGGACATTTTCTGCCCAGTCCATTTGCACTTTTAACCATATTTTAATGAGGGTTTTAGCCATTTCAATTTGTCCAAGAGATTGCTAGTTTAATCTTGTGTTTGATTTATTCCAGGCAATTCATGTGTACCAAAAATGTATTACAACTCTGTGTTCAAACTAGTGAGGCTTTAATAACAAGTTTAGACAGTATGTTAAGAAATAGCTATAAACCAGTAACAAGGACATTAAAAGTCACATTGCAAATAAAAGGTTTTTGTAATTAGCGTTACAGCCTTCAACACAAGATGTAGCAACACAAGATGAGAATCAGTGTAAAATGAAATTTAATGAAAAGGAAAAAAAATACAAATCATCATGTTTTGCATTATATATTTTTTATCTCTTGTGCCTAATCAGTAGTTACAATGTTGACTGTTTTAGTGAAGATGGCTTACATTTTTATTTTATATAGAACAACAATATAAAAATAAAATTAGTAATGATAATTTCTGGAATTACAACTGTGCAATTATGAAAATTTTGTATCAATTGTATACTGTATTGATTGTGGTTAATACATTTTGACCTTCATGTCTCTTTACCAAACAATGTAATTAACATCTAAACGATTGCAGAAAATATGAAAATTCATAAAATATACAATATTGCAAACTGGTACATGTGAATTTGAATTCCAGATTTGCATCTAAATATGACTTTAATTAGTTGTCTGTCTTGAGTTAACTGGTTTCATAATGTAGCATCAATGATTGTTTTACCTATGTTTTTTACTTAACTGTTTTACTTATTTTATGGTGCATATTAGCAATTATAATGACAATTACATCTGGGATTTACAAACTGCCCCTCATTCCTTCTTCAATGCCAAGTGGATCTTGCTAGAACACTAGCAGTAATGTGTTAAAAATAAATCAGTTGGGCCAATTGAAAGTTAGAAGCAGCTGTGAAGTAGGTAGTCTACGTGAACAATATATTTCATTGTCCACCCAAAGCTGTCTGCCAGTTATACGTCTGGGAACAAGATAAGAAAAACAGATAAGGAGTTGAATATAGTTGATCTATTATCAAGAAATCACAGAAGGATGTTGAACAGGCAGCAATATTTTATGTTGGCTTTCTTAATGTTGGCAAGAACACATCTTCCCAGAGAAGGGAAGCATATATGATGAGGTTTTTGTATCATTATTAGTCTTTCCATGTAATTAAGGAACCCCTGGATCACATGGTCTAGGAGCTTGAACATTTGAGTACAAGCTTAAAAGGTGGGCGGTGTTTTGACCGTGTTAGTAGCAGGACTCTTTGATTTCCAGAGGGCAGCTCCAACTTTCTCTTTGAATGGAGAGTTCTTACATTAGTCAGTGTAATTTAATGTTACAAAATAGATGGTCATCACATAAATGCTGAATATCTATCAGGTAAAGAAATTCTTTTTTTTACAAAAGTCAAAAACATTGATTGTTCAAAAGTAATATCGTGATTAGTTATTGTAAAATATTTTTTTCTATTGCTTAACTGAGGGTCTATTTTGTAAGGCTTTAAGTTATAGGGCTGTGGTTGTTTGCAATTGCTTTATTGCAAACATTGGGGTAGAGCCATTTAGCTTCTAAAGAATGGTTATATGAATAACATTACTTTAGGTAGTATATTATAATCTTCGTTTCATTTAAAAGAACAATGACTAATAGTACATAGATTATTTCTCTTTGTTTGTCCAAGAATCTGCTCTGCTATTACATGGTTCTTGTTTGGGGTACAAGCTTTTCTATTTTTAGAACTTTATTTAAATTGGAATTCAAGACCTTTTGCAATTAAGATGGAGCTATTGGGTAAAACCAGTTATGCCTAATTAATGGGACAAATGTATTTAACATTGTTTATGGATCCAACTCATGTACCTTTAAAATTGAAAATAATTTTAATTCATACCACAATTGAGTATTGATGTTTGTGAAATTAGCATGTCTTAAGCTGTTGCCAGATATAAAAATAAAACATAATTAAATTGAATGTACGTATATTTTTTCTTTTTCTTTTTAATTTTTAAAATATGATGGTCCTATAAGATTTCTTAACCTCTCCGTGGATTAAAAAAAACCCATCAAAGTATAAAATAAAATACTCTATATAGTAATTTAATGTAGCCCTTCAAAATTCCTATTAATTAGTAACAGCAAATCATTAAGGTCTGTCAGAGAAACACTCTGAGATTTGCTTAATCATAATTCTTTAATTTAAGGGTTATTCTTTTTAATTCCTTGAGAGAAAAATATTAGCAATTCTTCTTGAAAGCTTATAAGGCTCTTGAGTGATCCAAGGCATTTGATTCCAGAGAATGAAGTTATTAAGAAAGCTTATCTGTGTTTAGTTCATCATTTAAGCAATTATCTTACTCCTAATGATGAACAGTATATGGGTTTGACCATAAACAATTCTTTATTTTTTTAAAAATGATTTAAAAGAAGCAATAATTTAATTCAATTTAAAAGAAGTTAAATTGAAATATTGAAATGGACTATTCTAGGTATCTTGGAGCAAAAAATCTCCACAAAATAACTTTCTATTGCATTTTTATTTATTGAAATATTTATACACCAACTATACTCATGTTATTAGGGAAGCTTACAAGATATGCAAACAGGTTTAACATCCATTTATGTTCTTAGCAATTTACCATGTAAAATCCTAGAAATATTAATGATGAACAGTTATAATGTCTTTCATAATATTTGTGACAATTACTACTTTCAAGAAAAAATCAACTTGATTTATTATTTTATTTGATCAAGCATTATTTAATCTTTTTTTTCTAGAAATGTGTGCTGTATTGGCCAGAGAAGAGAGGAATATATGGAAAAGTGGAAGTACTTGTTGACAATGTGCAGGAATGTGAGAATTACACTATCCGCAATCTAACATTAAAGGTACTGGTTTTTATGTGATTGGGTTTCAAACCACTACATGTAGTTATTAGTTCCTACCACCTATAGTACTGGACTAAACACAACTTTAATTAACTGGTTCAAAGAAAATATCTTACACAAGAACATATAAAAACTATATTCAGCTGCTGGCAGCCCAGTCCTATGTAATAACATACTTGCTTAATATGGCAGCATAATATAATATTTTGTGTGTGTGTGTGTGTGTGTGTGTGTGTGTGTGTGTGTATACAAGTTGGGTTGATCACAGTTTGATAGCAGATTTTATTTGGCTTATCATGCAAGTTAGTCAGGTATCAATAAAAATATCCTGCTTATGCAGAATTTTCCATTGCCAACCATAGAAGCAGGTCCACCATTTGAGTTCCAAAGAAGTAGTTGCTACTTCTTTGGAACTCAACACAACATTTGTAGCTCAGGGTCGAAACTGTGGACTCCTTGGTGCCTTCTCAGTTTGGTTGTTCCTTGCAGATGTTTCATTACCAAACCAGATAATATGATCAGTGATAGCAGTGATGATGTTACCTAGTCTGGTAATGAAACATCTGCAAGAAAACAACCAAGCCTCAGAGAACACAAAGAACCCCAAAGGACTTGCTTTCCTGAGTACAGAAACACATTGTGCCTCATTTTCAGTCAACAGTGTTGTTAATGAAATATGTATATCATTCATTGTTTTCAGCAAGGGAACCAGTCGAGGAATGTCAAACATTACTGGTACACTTCCTGGCCAGATCACAAAACTCCAGTCAGTGCTCAACCTCTTCTACAACTCATGTTGGATGTAGAAGAGGACAAGAAGGCTTCAACTGGTAGAGGTCCTATAATTGTTCATTGCAGGTAATTTTCACCTTAAATATGATTTTAAATTTAGATTTTAATGGAGAAGGATAGGAAAAGTATGAATTAAAAATTGATTTTTGCAAGTTGATAGTGCAATCAAGAAAGTGGAAAGCTGGTTCATTAACACTTACACTACAAGGAGCTTTTTATTTAACTCAGTTCAGTCCATGTGAGAAATATCTTTTCAAGCTTCTGGCAAGAATCTTTCTCAGCCTAATCTGAGTTTAGTGATAATTAAAACTAGTCCTTTTTCATGCATATTTTATGGATACTTATATTCTATCATTTTCCAAAAGACAAAAATGCTTCCACTTATTATATGACTTCTTCAATTCAGGTAGGTCCCCTATTTGCTGCCTAAAACAGATTTGGTGCTCTGTAGTAGCCTTCTAGCAAACTGCACAGCCACACATTTTGCTTGGCCTGTTCCAGTATGATCCACTTACCACTTCTTAAATAACAGCTGACATTATCCTCCTCCTTTTTCCAGCCCACCAGAAATGCATCCCCTGCCCATGTTGCCCAGCTTCGGTTCAAAACTACTATTTTCATACCTGAACTGTCACAAACTCTTCAGAATAGATCATCTCCAACATTTTGTTCTGATACAGTAATAGCTACAACTATGGTTGGTTGTAGGGCTTGGCAATTCCCTTTCTGTAGTGTCTGATCTGCTTGCAGATCTGCTATGTTCTCTGCATTTTTTTATAATCTTGCAATTGATCCAAAAATGGCCTATTAAATCAATGAACTGTGCCAAACCCTAGAGAATTATGCTCCATTCAACTCTAACATCTTCTAGTGGATACCCTGTTGTTTAATGCCCAGTCTGCATGAGACATGATCCCTAGCTTTCCCACACCCTGTGTACAATGTTGTAAAGCTTCCTTTCATTTCCTTTTATCTGTTTATAAATCTACGTTTACAACTGCAAGATAGAAAGATTAAAGTTTGTTTTTAATAAAGCTAAGTTATCATTTCTTCCTTGTTACAAAGTTTCCATGGCTCTGCACAGTAAGGTAGGAACCAAAGAGCAACCTGTTCCCCTGATGCTTTGATTACTGTAGCATGAGAGTATAGGTAGTCCTCAACTTACGACCACAATTGAGCCCAACATTTCTGTTGTTAAATGAGACATTTGTTAAGTGAATTATGTACCTTTTATTATCTTTCTTAACTCACTTGTTAAGTGAATCACTGCAGTTAGTAACCCAGTTGTTACTCTAAGTGAATCTGGCTTCCCCATTGCTTCTCAGAGGGTTGCAAAAGATTATCACATGACCCTGGGATGCTGCAGCAGTCATAAGTATGAACCAGTTGCCAAGCATTTGAATTTTGATCACATGATCATGAGGATGCTACAAAGGTTGTAACTCTGAAAAAACGGCCATAATCCACTTTTTTCAGTGCCGTTGTAAGTAATAGATTAAATATACAAGTCTGGATCCAATTATAATTTTGTTGGTGCTCTAATTCAACTAATAAATAAGTTTGAACCCCAAAATACAAATAAAATGTTAACAAACAATATGAGAGCTTCATGCTCCATTCAAAATAAAGAAAAGAACATGCAAATCAGACCACAGCTTGAGTAGATCTCTTTGTGGAAAACGTAATACCTGAAGCATCATTGAATAAATTATGTCAACTCTTTCAATCAGTCACATCTTTTCCTGGAACTGGTTATTTACACAGTGAGGACCGTCAATATTCAGGTATTCAGTATTCCTATACTGAGGCAAAAAGCCTTTAAGCAAAAACATGGAAAATGCTTATTACTTAGCATCTCAGAGATCAGTAAATATATGAGTGTGATTAAGAACAAATGAGAGATCATGAGTTGTTGGATGAATAGTTTTTTCCCCGCAGGGGATTTTAAGTGATTGGATGGATTGATTCAAGCTAAAATGAATTATGAGGTAGCCTAAGTCAACTACTATAAAAAGTGGCCATAATCCACTTTTTTCAGTGCCGTTGTAAGTTTGAACAATCACTAAATGCACTATTGTAAGTTGAGGAGGACTACCTGTAATGATGCCACAAAAGTGTGTAGAAAGACGAATCTACTTCATTGGTGAAGGAGATAATGTGGGAAAGAGTTATGAAGGCATCATGTGTGCAAACGTCTGAGAAACCAAGGAATGGGATGGGGTACTGGTGGAGAAGGAACAACTCCAAAAATATAGGAAAAGGTAGGCATTGTTATACCAGTCTGTACAAGAGCCAGACAATGAAACTGGCCTTTCCTGCATGAAATAGAAGGGCAAGGGCAAGAAGCAAATCAACAACTAGTTAATGTAAGAACTATAGCCTGCACTGAACACGAGCACTGGAATCTGGGCAGGAATTTCTTAAAAAACAGTCAGGAAAGGAGCAGCATGGGTGGAAAGCAGTTAGACTGCAGTGTGGAATTGCCCAAAGTCTTGCCTTTTGGTAATCTCACATCTGATCTTAATTTACAACCAACAATGGTTGATACCAATCTTGCATCCAAAGCAGAAAGAAATCCAAAACTCTTCTTCAGTGGATGATACTTTTTTTTTTTAGAAAACATATAGTTCACTGAATTTCCCTTCCACCACAATGTTAGTAAGATCCCAGATTATACTGTAGCTTTTGATAATCATAACATTGAATCATAACATTGTTGATCTGAAAATACCTATTTTCTCACCCAGTGTAAGGGAAGTTTGTTTTTAATAGCAGTTCACAGAATAAATTTTCCCCTTATCTTTTCTTCTACAATGTAGATTTTTAAAATATCAAAAAAAATGTAGTTGCATGAGTTTATCATATTACGGCAGGAAATGTAAATATTTGTATTATGATCTCAATTCTGCAAGGAGAAAGGAAAAATATAAAACTGTCTAAAAAACTGAGAAGTTAATCTAAGAATATGCATTTTTAATTCTCTCAGAGTTAAAGAACATAGATGTGTATCTTGTTTTTGCAATATACTATAAGAATTTATTCTTATATTCTTATTCTTTAGTTTATGGAGCTGACATTTGCTGAATTTTAAAGAAGAGACATCATCTGCAGCTATTTAATCATATATTTTTGCATGGAACAGAAATCAAAAATTTCAACTAATCTACATTTGTCAAATTGCTAAGCTACCAACAAATTTAAATTTCTATGCTGTCCAAAGTCACCTTGTAGCAGAGATGGACAGCATAGAAATTTAATACATAAATAAATAAAAATAAACAAATGTAGTTCTGATGAGAAAATAAAATGGTTATCTGATATTATCTCATGAGTAAATTAGGAACAAAACCATTCTCCGTCTCCTATGGAGAATATTTCAGACCTTAAATATCCTGTGATACCAGCCATAACCTGTTGTTTTAGTACTATTCAGCTTTGGTTTAATTGTTTTCTTTGACAGCGCTGGAATAGGAAGAACAGGGTGTTTCATTGCTACTGCAATTGGTTGCCATCAGCTCAGGGAAGAAGGAGCTGTTGACGCATTGAGTATTGTCTGCCAACTGCGTTTGGACAGGTAGGATGACGTAGGATACAAAATCCATTAATATTTGCCGCCCAATATTTTTAAGTGTCACTGTCATTCATGTCATGAATACTGTAATTTTGAAGTTTTTGTAGGATCAAAGAGAAACAAACGAACATTAGAAGCAAGCAACATTAACAGCAAATAGCTGCATTGGATGTAAAATCAATTTAATGTTTTTGCAAACTCAATTTCCCTTCATCCAACATTTTAGTACACACCCTTTGTGCCTATTTATAATAAAGAAGTAATTGGTGATGCATCCATGCAATTCCATCATCATGTCTGCTTTGGTCCTTTGCTAGGGATTTTAGGGGCAAACTCATGAATGCATTTAGCAAAATACAAACAAGCATGGAAAGCAACATTATCAGCAGACAAATGATGAGAATGAGAAATGGTTATTTGATCTTTTCATGCTGGCAGTGCCCCTTTAAATTTGTTCTGCAAATTCTATTATTCTACTTGACATCCCTTAGATGGGTTAGACTATAGTTCCTATCATCCCCAGCCAGGCTATTTGTGTGGTATTTCTAGTCTGTTAGAAGAATGCCAGGCTGAGAATAACTACTTTATTCCATAGCTTAGTGGAATTCCACAATGTGACTTTAAAAGTATCTGGGCCATGTATTTTACTTTTATGGTCAGATTAAATACAGTTCTGCTGTCAATGCTGAAATGAGTCATGGCTGCAGCATTTCTTCGATGTCAGCTGGTGAGACAGGAAGCCTGCGAGGCATTAGAAAAAGGACAGGAAAACCTGTAGTCTGTGCATGTGCTCTGGGACCATAACAGGTCACACATTTAGTGTCAGAATGCAAATTCATGGACATTGGCAGTCACATTCAAATTTTCTTAAACGTTTGAAGATGCACGTTGCTTGTTCTGAATTTTAAATTGGTAAATAGTTCAAGGGTTGGGGCAGCATCTGGAGAATTCTCAAGGTGGAGGCTAGTCAGAAAAAATGTATTAGAAACTCTTTTGTAGGAAATGAGGACAAGTGAAATATTTCTTTTTTAAAAAAAATTATTGAAAACAGTGTTCTGAAAGAAAAAAAAACCCGACTCAGCTGCAATTGTAACTGCATCAGCTGGGCTGCAGACATAGCAATGAGGGCAGAGAACTGAAAATGGTCCCAGAAAGAGAAGTCTTTTTCCATGGTCACATTTCTGTCATTCTGATTTTGGGGAGTGGGGGCGGGGAGTTGAATGGTATTTGAAATGATACAATGCCCTGCCAAACTAAATTGAAAATGCAGTATGGCACAGACACAGATAGAATATCAAATTGGGGTTGTTGTTGTTTTTATTATTTAGTTATTTATTTAATTTGTATGTTGCCCATTTCACTATTGAAGTGATCCTGCTTACAAAAGGTTAAAAAGAAATCTATGAAAATAATTACAATTAATAAGAATTAAATATAAACTAAAAACCAAGAGGACAGATGACACAAGGCTTTAGGGGAGGAAATTCATTGTATCATCAGTGAGACTTTATCTTTTTATTTTGCTTTGCTTTGTTCTTGCTTTTCAGAGGTGGAATGGTCCAAACAAGTGAACAGTATGAATTTGTTCATCATGCGTTGAATCTGTATGAAAGCAGGCTCTCTGCTGAAGCCGTCCAATGAAGCCAAGATGGAAAAAGTAAACAGGTCACTCTTTTTGGAGGTAATTTATTTCATTACCTTCCAGCAACTTCTTCAAGGAGTTGTCAGCTGTAGAAGGAGAAGCAGAGCATTCAACCTGTCAAAGGAATGTGGATCATTTTTTTTAAAAAAAGCATTGAAGATTGATGGACTCTTGCATTGAATGTATTGTGAGTTCCTGACACAGTTTTAATGAAGGTTAATATGCTGATGTTACATTGAATTTTTCACACATATACACACATGTACATATGTGTGTGTGTGTGCATATATTAAGGAAGATTTATTTCTGTATTAATAGAATATGAAACACTGAATGTATGTATGTATGTATAACAACTGGATGTGAGAAATTTCACGGAAGAAATTTGTATACATGCTTCAATGTTTGCAAAGTCTGTCTTGTGAATAGCCAGTCAGATGTTCAATTGTACCTGTTAAGTACTACTCCCTATTATGTAGTAAACTTAATTTGGAGCTCCTTGGATTCTTGGTGGTAAAATCCGCAAGGGGGTGGTTTTGAGTACTAATATCCACAGCATCGTACAAAGGAAAAATAAATAAATTTGTGGGTTTTTAAATGAATAAAAATCAATAACTATTTTATATGATGACCCTAGTAAATTCTCATAACTATTTACTGCAAATAGTGAATAATGTAAAACATTGTGGAACACAAGGACCATTTCCTGTGCAAAACCTATCAGAAAAGATGAAGTTATTTTTTTAAAAAAGGGATGCATTTTAGTGAAGATCGCTGGGTTCTTTTGAACTTCTAATTTCAATGCAGCTAGGTCAAGAGAAATCCCTAATAAATTGCATCCAATGTCATTTTGCAATAGTTTTGCATTTATTCAATACCATCTACTGTGTTAAAAACTTTTTTGCTCCAGGACAGAATTCTGTGCATGTGTAACTCATTCGAGTTTTACAAATAAACAGAAAAGGATCTTTGTAACATATATTTATATAGTAAATTTTTAAATATTTCTTTGCAATTTCTTTTTAACTTTAAAAAAGCTGTAAACCTTCTACTCACATGCGAGGTTGGATGCCTGGAGAAACAAAATCTTGAAAGCTTTGTTAAACATAAGGCTTCTTTTTTTTTTTTTTCCTTGCCTATTTGTTACAGGAAAAAAGAGCTGGCATTTCACCTTCAACAAACTCAAGGGTTTTCAGCACACAATTTATTCATAGGTTTCTAAAGCAAATGATGTTACCTTTGCTTCATGTACTCAATAAACTGCATTTAAAGATGCTTGTAATTTTTAAATTTTTGTTTCTGTCATTATCATCAAATTTTGCTACTTTTCTGTTGGAATATTCAATGATAACAATATTCTGCCTGATAACATTTCTCCAAAATCTGTAAATGCCTCTCAACTATTCTATCTGGGTAATCAAAAAGTAATGTGTAAGAAAGCTTTCTGTTCCTATAATCTAATGAACTAGTAGTGGTTATTACCTGCCTTAGTGCCAGCAAGAGAAAAGCAGATGATAAGATTGGAAGGTCAAGCATGGGCAGACCAAGAGAAGAGCTACTGCTATTGAAACCTACTGCTAGTAGTACTGGTGACTCCACTTTACTACTTCTACAAACTGCTGTTTCCAAATTAATCCAGATTAAAGCAATCATAATTCTACTTCCTGGATGATACCGAGGGACATTTCTAGACAGGAAGACTGAAAATGACATATTTGTCTGTAACCCAGTGAGAAAGCTATTTATTTATTTATTAACCACATTTATTTATTAACCACATTTATATGCCGCCCAATCCCGAAGGCTATCTGATTTACAAAAGTGGCTCAGCAGTTAAGATGCTAGGCTTGTCAGCTGGAAAGTCGGCAGCCCAGGTCCAAGACCTAAGCACCAGGTGATGGAGTGAGCTCCCATCCTTGCCCTACCTCCTGCCAAACTTGCAGTTCGAAAGCATTCAAATGTAAGTAGATAAATAGGCACCACTTTGGTGAGAAGGTAACAGCGCACCATGACATCTTGCTGGTCCTTTGACCACAGAAATGTCTTTGGACACCACTGGCTCAATGGCATTGAAAGGGATATAAACCTTTCCCCCTGTTGTCAGCAATGAGTACTGGAGTAAAATCTGCTGGGACTCCTTTATCTTTTTTTACCTATGCACTACAAAGCTGAAGCTCCAGAGTTCACAATTCTTGACTTGTGCCACCTTTTTCAGCAATAGCACAATGGAACTAATCAAAATGAGGTACATATAAGAAACTCATCCTTCAGAGCCATTCTTGTTATTTCATGCTTCCTTTCTCGCCTCAAAAAAGTGTGGATCAAATCCAGTCGAAAGGTATTAATTTCTTTCACAATCACAGTTGTTTGGTAAATAAAAATGGATGACATGACAACAAGGTACAATGAAAAATGATGACATGAAGATGCCATGTGAATGTGGCAAGTTAGCACTCAAGGCTTAAATATTCAATTGAATTCATAATGAAGAGACCCCAGAGAACCTGCTCTTCTTCTTTGTAGGTTACAGATAAATCCTATATGGCATCTAGATGTATAATGTTTCCAGATTTATACATAACACATCATTACAAAAAAGCTGGTATTTACAGGACAACACAGTATATATTTACACACAAGAACACCTGCAGACAGTCAATTAAGCCAAATTACAGCTCCTCATCCTTAGCTGAGATCTGTTTTAAATGCTCTGTTTTGCTTGTGTTTTCCTAAATATAAGAGATAGGAGAGTAAAGAACTGTATGAAAATTCAAAGTGGTGTAAAACTCCCCCCAAAAAACAATTGAATAGAAGGAAATGTTCGTCACTGACTTTTCCTCTTGTGACACCACATTTCCTTCCTAGCCTTCACTTCACTTATCTAGACTATGCTTTTTTTAAAAAATTGAAGAGAGAGAAAGAAGCAATAGTTGTTGTTAGAGGGAAAATGGGGGTTATACTTCGTGTTCTAATTTCTACTTCCCTGGCCTTTACAATCTCTGGTAAGTATGATTACAATTTTTTCTGTTTCTTTCTTTTTCTGGCTGTGATTTCTAAGGATTACTAGAAGTTTCCACAAGATTTGTGAGATAGAATAACTGATTTCTAAGCTTTAGTTTATACAACAGAAATAGAGGGATGGACCATAGAAACCCATAACTATTTAGATTTTATTCAGAAAGAAAATTAAGTTTGTTTTTTTTAAATTGCCTTAAATGTGAGACTCCTGAGATGCTGTCCTGTTTGTCCAATTTCATATTTTCTGAAAGTTATAATATCATGTGCTTATCAATATATAATATGTAGAATATTCTGTAAAAAAGTAGAAATGAATAGCAGATACAAATTGTAACTGGGCATATTATTTCAGGTAATTGATATATTTAATTGGAACTTTTTAATGAATATTTGGTTGAAAGAAATAGAATAATTATTATATCATGATATTTCATAGTTATGATTGACTAGATTGATGAATTTACTCTTCAATTTACCAATTGTGCCTTTGAAACATTATAGGGGGGGGGGAACCTGTTTAGGAATTGTATTACAATTAAGAACATTACAGCCAAGTAATGTTCTTATTAAAGAACATTAAAGTATTATTATTAAAGTATTAAATATATACATTATTAAAGAATCAAACATGTGGCCCATAAGGACTAGCAATATATCTGACAGTCATTGCCAGTGAATATTGTGGTATTACAAAATGTGTTAATCTCATCATATGAATCTATTCTAAATCTGGCTATACTTTTGTAAGGTTTTTGTTGTTTAAGAAAAAGTAAAGACTGAAATTCACCAAATCTTTATCATTATTCATAAAATTGACATTTTGCCCAAACCGTTTTGATCTATATATGAATTATTTATATATTTGCATGATGAGGGTGATGACAAAATGAATGGTTTTAATTTGTACTTTTGTTATTGTCCTTATCTTATTAATATTAACTGATGCTCTACTCTGTTACCATGGATTCTCTGTCTCCTTTTTTTAGATAGTTTTCTGATTATCCATGAGCTAAAAGAGCAGTGTATTTATGAAAGTCATAAAATAGCTTATGTGGGAATGTGCAACTTGACCAATATTAATCAGCAGTGGAATTGGTTGCAAGAAGACAAGCTTCTCCATCTCAGAACTGGCCAATGTCTGGCCATCACCAGGTCCAAGGTTGCACATTCCAGCAAGGTGATTGTTGCCAACTGCTCTGAGGCTCCTAGCTGGACTTGTTACAGCAGTGAAGGCCTCCTAGAGGTGAAAAACAGCTCTCTCTTCCTTGAGAAACGAAGTTCAAGAGTAGTTGTGAAGAAGGGCAGGAAATATCCCCATAGTTGGAAAAAACTTGATGTCAATGAGAAAGGAGAGACCATCCATGAAAATCTTTGTTCAAAGATTGGTAAGCAGTTTGAATATGTTTTCTGTCAACTACAAGCACTGACTGATTTTGAAAGCACAATGACATTTGACTCATAGATGAAAAACCATTTAGAAGCACTTTAAAAGTTCTATAAGATAGTTCAACTGTTTATGTTTTAAGAATAGTGATTGGAAATGCCTTCTTAATTATATATATATATATATTGGTTATCATTCTCCATGCTTTCAGGTAGCTTTTCATGGCCTTTCTTAAGGATGGTGAACACAAAGATATATTTCCCTCACATAAATGAACAGGCCAAGTTTAGCAATCCTTTAAATATATGCTCATGCCGGTAGTGTGGGGGAAAGGGGTGTTGTCTGTTTGCCTGTTGAAATTATAGAGCCTAACATTTATAATAGAAAACTAATCATGCTATTAAAAAGGATCAGTATGGGTCAGTATGCATACTCCAATATGGCGGATAAAAAAGCAGCAGATGAGAAACATTATTTGCTGAATGTACGACTAGAGTAAACTTTGAATTACAGAATGATTTATTCATATCTCATTCTGTTAGACACTATGTTGAATCAGCATGTAACCCAAAGCCAGCAAATGTTTGAATGACTGGTGGAGGACTGGTATGTCTGATGTTTTGTTTTTCTTAATGACCTGGATCAAATAGACATTTGAGCTGCTCTATCCATGACCAATGAATATGGCATAATGCATTTCTTTTCCATGTAATCAATTTTGAACAATCATGTTAAGGATATGGAGTGCAATGGCCTATGCAATAGCTTAAAGGTGTGAATAATAGATGCCAACCAGAAAATGATAATTGGACAATCATTGTACTCTCCAGATTAATGCATTTACTGTAGTGCAGAGGATAGAAGAGGCTCCATCATTGAAACCCTTTCATTTGGCTTTCTGTTTGATTAGATTGATACTTTAAGCTCTATACATTTTAGAACTCTTCAGGCTAGATGGTTATGCCCATCACAGTTTTCAATTAATTATTTACTTTTAAAAGTATATGTTCTTATTTTAATGAAGAAAGCATTAATAGATTAAATATACAAGTCTGGATCCAATTATAATTTTGTTGGTGCTCTAATTCAACTAATAAATAAGTTTGAACCCCAAAATACAAATAAAATGTTAACAAACAATATGAGAGCTTCATGCTCCATTCAAAATAAAGAAAAGAACATGCAAATCAGACCACAGCTTGAGTAGATCTCTTTGTGGAAAACGTAATACCTGAAGCATCATTGAATAAATTATGTCAACTCTTTCAATCAGTCACATCTTTTCCTGGAACTGGTTATTTACACAGTGAGGACCGTCAATATTCAGGTATTCAGTATTCCTATACTGAGGCAAAAAGCCTTTAAGCAAAAACATGGAAAATGCTTATTACTTAGCATCTCAGAGATCAGTAAATATATGAGTGTGATTAAGAACAAATGAGAGATCATGAGTTGTTGGATGAATAGTTTTTTCCCCGCAGGGGATTTTAAGTGATTGGATGGATTGATTCAAGCTAAAATGAATTATGAGGTAGCCTAAGTCAACTACTATGTTGGCTCTGGACATATTTTCACTGAAAGAGCATGGATTCTCCTGGATTCACAGTTCCTACTTGATCTGGGATTGATCTGCCCAGCTTCAGTTATTGCATTTTTCTGAGTGGGTGGCCTTAGCAAAAGTTATCTATCACCTTCCACTATGATTCAACTTTTTTGGTACAACTAAAGACCACTTGGAAACTATAGTATAGAATGTGGCTGCCCACTTCCTGTTAAAGTGGTTAGAGTTCCTGTGGCTGGGTGCCACTATATCTCTAAGTACTGGGTTGCCTGCCAATAAATTTCTAAGTAAAATGCAAATGTTAACAAAGTGTGAATATTAACCTATAAAACCCAGCAAGGCTTGTCTACCTGTTATCTTTGAGACCATCTTTTCCAAACAGAGCCTAAAATTATCTTGATAAATTGTTCCATTTGGAAAGGGAAATATTATTAGTTATAGTATCTTCTGTTTAAGTATATTTACTCATAAATACGTTCCTTTGAATTTCATTGGATTTTGGTGGAAGCTCAGTGATATTTGCTGAAAGGATAATATAAAAGTCTTATATCTTTGAATAGATTTCATTGAGAATAAATTTTATTACTTGGAATAAATTTCATTGAATTTACCAAGTTCTTATGCATTTGCCTACACTGTATATTTATTTATATCATTAAAAAATTTAAATACAACTATTATAACAGTTTCTTAGGAAATGTTACTTTACACATTTATTTGAAATTTATCCTTTACAACTGCTAGATATTTGAGTTAGGACTGTAGATATTTCAGAAAGTAGAAAGAGTACTGAAAATATAATCAATTTTTAATTTCAAAAAACTAATGATATTAAAAAATATATCTTTGTATTCTAAGAGGTTTAACAAGGAGCCGACTGACAATAATTGTTTTTATAACTTTGAAAAAATTATTTAGCTCCTGTGAGAAGAAAGTTTTAGACATTAAGCGTGACATGAGTAATTTTACACATACGTTATATCCTCCTTTTGTTTGGTCTGCAAACTTAAGCAGACAAAACAGAGGATAAGAAAAAAGAATATAGCATGTGAATGAAATGACTGATAGAGTTAACAACTGGCAATAAGACAGCAAACAAAATGTCTCCCAATTATACTCCTCTTGATTCAATGAGTTCCATTCAGCTATTGAAATAAATGAACATAATTGCATTTGGTATTCTTTGTACATTCTGACTTTTTCCTAACCTTAATATACTATAGTAGTATATTATATACATAATTACATTATATACAATATATTATATTTCTACATAATTACATTATATAATTAATGTAAGAATAATATTTGTGCTGGTTTTCTCCCATAATCTTCCCTTTAGAGTAGCATTCAGTCAGCATAAAATAAAGGCCCAAAAACAATAAGTTAGCAAGTCACTTTTACTTTGCTTTAACTTTATTTTTAAGCCATATGAACAGCTCCTTGTGCAGACTTCTTACAGCACTGGCTCAATGGTCTAGAAATGGAGATGAGCACTCTAAAGTCAGCTATGACCAGTGGAGCAAAACTCATAGGGACTCTCCTTTTTTAACCTTTTTTAAAAAGATTTTACACTGTTTTGTCCATTTTTTTTAAAAAAAAGATCTGAAGGCAATTGAATGTTTGAGGGAGTTTTCTTGCCACTGTAATATATATTTTTCTATAGTATTACAAAGGATGAAAGATTAGAAGTTGAACCTCAAATATATTCATGAACAAAGCAGAAAAATTCATGTGTAGTAAAATCCCATGTAGACAGAGAGGTAGGAATCTGACTTGTGAATAATAGAAAACAAACAACCTGCTGCAGGAAGCTGGTGTTTTGCCCTCACCACAGTGTGAAATAGTTAAGAGTGCTGATATGGGGGAAAAACATTTGAACTATATGCCAGGCTAAGTAACATGCAAGAAGTTTGCACCAAGTAACATTTGTCATTGAAAAGGACCTTACAATAATAAATATATTGAATAAAATATAAGTTTTGTTTTATTGGAAACATTAAACATGCCTGACAATGTTTTTCAAAGAAGTTTATTTCAGGATGAAAGTTCATCGACTCCTTCTTTTAAAAGAGAAGAAATCATAGGTTGGCATTCTAAACCTTCATAATTATATGCCAAGTGATCATATTTGGAAACACAGGCTCCTTATAACCCACTAATTACATTTTTAAAGGGAATCTTCAAGCTAAAATTGTTATATGTAGTAAGCAGCCTAGTATTGTGGCTGTTGTGCTGTTGTGCTTGCAACTCTGTTTTTAGAAGTCAGGTGTTTCTGACAAAACAGATTTCAAAGTACTATAAGAAGTGTGATATTTTCTCTTAGAGGAAGTTAAAAAATTGCAGTTGTAACCAACATTCAGCAATTAAATAGTAGGGCCATAAAATGTCACTGAACATTACTCTTCCAACATAAAAAATATTACATTATTTTACCATGGAGAACGAGGAAGAAAAATTAAGGGTAACCATTCATTTCTGTACTAAACTCTGTCATCTCCAAAAGATAAACTCTTCAAACCATTATCAGACATTTGTTGATCATATCCACCAAGTTATTTGTTAAACAGCAAGCAAGTTGACAGGCCACCTGTAAACAGTTTATTATAATGTAATTCTTGACCAATCAGATTGACTATGGAGATTCTCAATCATCTGGGCCATGGTTGTTCCAAAGGTGCTTCTTCAAAGCTTCTTGGATAAGAAGCAAAACATCTTCAAGTAAAAACGAAGTCCAGTTGCCTTTTGAAGAAGCACCTTTGGGGACAACCCAAATAGAGCCTCTTTTTGCTAGAGCAGAAATCATATGCTTGCCAAAATGATGCAGCTACTGTCTGGGGTGGTTTCCTGTCATTTGCCATAAAAGTGGGTCATGGCTTTCATACTTTCATCTACTTAAGCTAAAGATTAAAAATAGATGGATTTTGAAAAATGACAAGCTGGTTTTAGAGGATGATAATATGCTGATATTGATGAGATTTTGGATGGCTGAATCAAAAAACACCCAGACAATTTATGTAACTGTCACAAAGGTAATACTTTCCAACAAATACCCAAGAAAATCTGATTGATGATTATGTGCCATCAAGTCAGTGTCAACTCTTAACTAAACACAGTAATTTTTTCAGTATGATCCTTCAGTTCTTTATATTGCCATCATAACTGAGAAGTTGCCGCTGGTTGCCTTCCTTTTCTCTTTCATCTTTCACAACATTATGGATTTTTCAAGAAATCTGGGGTTTTTTTCCACCATATGCCCAAAGTCTAATAATTTGAGTTATTTGTGTTTCAATTGGGAACTCTGGATTTGTTTGCTATATAACTATTTGCTGTATTCTTGACTATCCATAATATTGTCGGGAGTTTTGAATGCTGATCTAGTTTTTTCTTATAGTACTAGGAGTTCCTGTAAGTAGAAAGATATCTTCTAAGGCAGGGAT